CCACAAACCATGGTTGACGCCTAGCAGCATGTCATGGTTACCCAAGCTAATCAGAAGAGGTGGAGAACCTATTCAGTTTTAGGATTACAAATGCAATACGGTCTTTCTCTAATACAATACTCTTGACCACATTGTTTGGTTTGATAGTTTATTCATGTCTACCATCCAATGTGAGTCTTATGCTTATATGATTACCTTTGAATGTGATTTGGAACACATTCCTAAATCTCATTCATACTTTGGCCAAAGATTCTCAATCATATCATAGAGTATTCTCCCTCAAACAGTTTGAAGGTTAGAGATCCCTTGTTGCGCATTCACTTGCCTCCATGGCTAAGTGGCTTAACCCCAACGATGCCATGGACACCCTCCTGATGGAGTGACTTTGACATAATCAAAGATTAAGGACCTAACCACAAGACAACTGTGATGCCTCAGGTCAAAAGACTAATTTGCATTATCCCAACCATGAGTTCTCATGTGACATGAATATGAGAACTCTTCGTTGATCGTGTTCAGTGAACTCATTCTCTATTGAGCACCTACGTACTTGTCTTGATGTCACACACACCAATGACTCGAGACTAGTCACTCTCCCTGAGAGAAGACATAGCACGTACTGATCTTAACGGACTGTCAATGCCCAATTGACAATCCTATGATCAGGAACGTTTAGGATGTGTCAACGAAAGAATGGTCTCATGAATCTAACTTCTTTAGATCGCATTCTTCCAATCACATATTCCTTGGACTTATCGTTTAAGCATATAACATTTATATGAGACGGCTCAAACAATAATCTTTGCCCTTTACATTTAAACTACATTAGTTTGAAATGTCCGTAAAGTATCATCATATGATTGGTTTTAGGGCACATTTCCAACAAACCGACCAATCCAATTAGAATAAATTGAGTTTGGTTAGGTTGAATATATTATAACCCGATTGAAATTGAGTCACCCACAAACAACACTTCTTAAACACACGTGTATATTATATAGACATATATATATATATATATGTCTATATATGTAAAATTCAACAATTCTTAGCGCATTAGTGTATGATTTGAATGGTGATGATTTAATGTTAAGTAACATGTAGTGATTTACAACATTGAATTTACATGATTGAATCTAATATAATACGAGTCTTCAATATTTTTCACTCACACTTGCATTAAAAATAAGAAAACAACAATTAAGCCCAATAGGTGGAACACGGCAAAAAAATAATTTGGTAGGTTGGTTGCCTATTTGTTTGAGTGATAATGTGTTTCAACAACGCCAACCTAACTCTATTAGATTTGCAAACAGATTGGAGCTCAACCCGAGCTAAACCACTAAAAAATAATAAGTAATAATAGCTTACCATGACAATTAATAAATTACTTGTTACTGATGATTTTTTATCAAACAATTAATAAATTACTTGTTACTGATGATTTTTTATCAAACAATGTACGATATTAAACTGTACATTTTTTAACATTGATCACAATGAATCTCCATCCATACATTTTTTAATTACCAATCTTGCCAAATTGACATTCATGATTCAACATCCAGTACGCAATCTAGAATTTTAGAATCCTAAAATATCAAGCAATTCCAAAAATAACAGAAATAAAAAAACTTCCCACAATTTTCACGACATTCCGACCGTCCGATCCTCATCAACATCATCGATCACTATGTTCCAAAACTAACCATTCGGGTCCCACAGGAGACTAACCTTGGGCCGTATTCGTCCAGATTCATACGGTGCCGTTCTGTACAGTGAGTACAGTTAGAAGCGAACGCGCCAGACGAGTGGTCTGAAAGGTAAACTCTCTCTCTCTCTCTCTCTCTCTCTCTCTCTCTCTCTCACACACAGCTCAGCTGGCACCGGAGAAAAAAGAGGGATTCCAGAACCGCTTCGGTTGACTCCTTTTTTTTTTTTTTTTTTTTTATTGGAATCTTCCGAATAAATAAGTAAGAGACAATTAAAAATCCCCCGTTCGGCGATTTCTCTGGATTCCGATTCCCTCAGACGGAGAATCCCAATCGCACCAACCGGCCCAAGAGAGAGAAAGTTAGAGAGAGAAGGGGATAATTTCATTTCCCTCTGTAAAATTGGTCCGGAATTCGATTCAATTCCCCACCTCATTTCTCAAAGGTTAATTGGGTTTAGGTTCAATTTTGATTTGGTCGAGTTTATGTTGATTTTGTTTTTTATTTTTTGAATTTTTGTTTCAAATCAGTAAAATTTGAAATATTTTATACTAATTTGAATATTTTATGTTTTGATTTCAGGGTGCTGGTGATTTTGCGACTATGGGTGTGACCGTGAAGCAGATGTCTCTGACAGTGGCAGTTTTCGGTGTTCTCTCGTTCATATTCGGAGTTATTGCTGAAAACAAGAAGGTAATCCGCATTCCTAACATGTACATGTGAGGATAAGATTGTAAAGTTATGGCCTGATGAATGCTTTGTTGTGTAAAATTGGTGATTTTTGTGTTAGGGGACTGGGTAGTTCGAATCCCGCTCCCGCTGTTTAGTTTCGATTAGATTAGAATATCTTCCCGAATAAAGGGAAGAATCATCTTTTTTGAGGGGGTCTTTTTCTGTAAATTTTACTCAACTTGCAATTTGGGAACCATATTCTTAAGTGAATGTGATGTGTCAAGAGTTTAGCCATGACATTCTACATAAGTCATCTTCAATGTTCCCTTTCGATGTGTCTTCACGAAGCGGAACCATGTCATCAAGTGTTAAAAAAAAATATTGTAGATGGTGCTTAATCGTAGTGGCAGAAAGCAATCATGCCCATGCACCTGGTTCGGGTTTTATGCCAACCAATCCTCATCCCCCTAACGACTAACATCGTTTTGTTGTGAATTGAAAATACCCTTGATTCAAAATGGAGGATTAAATGTTGTTCTACTTTGGAGGAATTGGTTGTGTCTCTACGGTATTCGAAGTGCAACGAGTAGTTGTTTCAACTTATTGATGTCCAAACAAATTACGATTAGCGGTCATTGCTTGAGTAATTGTGGTTAATCGGAAAAAAAAAAAAAAAAAAAAAAAGGAAAAAGAACAGAAAAGGAAATCGTTCCTTAGAAACTTTATCGAGTCATATTTGTATATTTCCTTTCATTAACTGGATGCTTTGTTTTTGACCTCTTGACAGCCAGCAGCTGGAACTCCTATGGTTGGGAAAGATGTTGTGATCTGCAAGTATCCTTCAGATCCATCAGTTGTCTTTGGGTATCTGTCTTTTGCTTTCCTCCTGGTATCTACAGTTGCTGGGTTCTTGTCATTGTTTTACCCATACAAAGGGAAGTCCCTTCCACAAGCTGCTTTGTTCCGAAGCACTAGTTTCGTCATATTCTTCAACATTTCTCTGTGAGTGCTCTTTCTGTAAGTCACATTTGGGCATATATCTATGTTAGATTTTGAACTCTGACCAGTTCTACCGTTATGACGCTGATGAGTCATCATGCTTTTCATTGCCTATATGAAATTGTTGTTCATATGGAATTTCTGGATCTGTTAGCTTTATGTGACGTAGAATGCATCTTATGCTTCAGAGTAGCCATCCAATTTAAATACCGTTAACGCCACCAAACTGTGGCCATAAAAGGCTGCTCGCTCTACCCTCTTGTCTAATTATGTTGCGTTGGGGGTGGTGCGATTACACAGGCTTACAGCAGGACTAGCTGCAGCTCTGTTGCTATGGCCTACAGTAACCGAGCAACGTCATCACTCAAGAAAGGTTCATCGCAATCTCCAAACAAAATGCCCAACTGCTAAGACCGGTCTCCTTGGTGGTGGTGCTTTCGTGTCCCTTGACGCATCGCTCTTTTGGTTGGTGGCCCTGATGTTAGCTGACAATGCACGAGAGGACTATTTTGAGGAGACTGAAAAGGATGTCAAGGGTGAATATGGACAGGTTTCTGCAATCGATTTCGATGGACATGCCAATATTAAAGGAAGTGCTTGAAGTGTGCTGGCGTCGAAAGGAGCCGCTGGGATGTCTGTTACGTACTCTTCCGTTCATATCTATATTAATAAGCTCGCGTGTCGAGCAACTTCAAGTAGTGAAAATGCATGTAGATACGATTCAAGATTGTTCGGTACATTCTCTTTGTGGTTGTGGGTTTGGTAAAATGAAGCATGAAGAACTTTTTAATTCGACGTCATTAAAATTTTCCTCCAATTTTCTTTCCACTAGTTAGTAGTTGCTTTTTGGTGAATGAATTTTAAATGGCTGGATACTTTATTGGTATAGGGTTCTTTTGTAATTGTTTTTAAAATGACTTCAGACAATTTTGGTGAAAATAGTTTTGAAACCAAAGAGTTTTTTGCAAGAAGTATATATCTGATGTTTTTTCAAAAAGTATTTAAATGATTTTCCAATTAAAAATTGCTTTTGTTAAAAGCGCTTTTAATTATTTTAAAAATATTTTTAAATGAGCCAATAGTTTGGTAATTAAGAAAACAAGCATAACGGTTTGCATCTTCATTTTAATGGACTAGTTCACAACTTGGCTTACTACCAAATTTCGTTGGCAGGGCTAAGGTTTTTCAAGATGCAATATATTACTTAGTTTTGAGTTAATTGAATTCATTTATTTCTTATATCACATCTTAAAGATTATTCGTGCAAAAAAATTAATCAAATTGGTAGTTGGTATTCACCTGTATCGAACAAATTGACAATTTTGGTAACTATTAGGATCTTCAAGATGAATCGCCCAGTTATTTGATAAATATGGAAAACCAAGCGATTTTCAATTAAATTAAATGTTGATCGTTTAGTAGTCATGTCAACGGTTCTGATTATGACATGCGTGCAATAAGAAATCGAACACATAATTGGGCTTTTGTTCAGTAGGGCTGGGCCATAACAACCCAGATCATCACTGGGCTTTTCATGGCACAAATCCAAATTCAATTTAACCCGTTAGGGGTATAAAGTTAGACCCGTGTACCCAAAAACCCTAGTCCTAAAGTTCCGCAAACCCTATTTAGACGCAGCTCCATTTCCGTTGGCATCAAATCAAATCAAAAACCCCACCAAAACCCTACACTCCTCACTCTCCTCCTCCTCCTCCTCCTCTGTCGGTGGAATAAAATGCCGCTCGGCGAAAGAGCTGGAGACAAGAGCGAGTCTCGGTACTGCGGCGTGGAGACGGAGTTCAACGATGACATGCCCCACGTCCTCGCTTTCAATCTCTCGCATGGATCCTTCGATTTCGTTATTGCTCCTCTGGTCCGTACATTTCTCTTCTTTTTTTCTTTCTTTTTTTCCACCCAATTTTTTTTCAAATTTCGTATTTCAATTGATTCTTCTGTTTATTTTGAGGAATGATTGGAAAAGTTGATTGGAATTTGTGTTTTGTAATGCTCGTATGGTAAATGGTGGCCAATTAGCCAGTCACGTAATCGGCTTTTCAGCTGCTCTATTGATGCGAATGGTCAGTAAGCGCACCGATAGCAATGCCGGGTTGGTGGCTGTTGCTCGTGCGCCTGCTCGACTATGCAGCTTCACTCTACGGCCACTAACTACACTAGTGTCAAATTAGACTTAAAATTTTTGGAAATGTCGATAATTCACTTGTCAATTGTTTGCTGGTATGACTTGCATAGTTGTTTATGTTGAGGAATGATGGAAATAGTCAATTGAAGCTTCTTTTCTTCTTCTTCTTCTTTTTTATTTTTTTTATTTTTTTTTATAGTAATTCTTGTATGGTGGCCAATTAGCCAGTCACATAATCGGCTTTCAGCTGCTTTTTTGGTGTGAATGGTCAGTAAGCTCACCCATAGCAATGCCACGTTGGTGACTGATGTTTGTGCAGCTCCTGACATTAGAGCTTCAGTCTACGGCCACTAACTGCATTAGTATCAATTTCCAATTGAAATGATCGGAAATATTGATTATTTGCTTGTCAATTATTTGTGGGTATGAATTTCTTAGTTAATGTTTATGTGTTGTCTGACCGACTTGTTTTATAGGCGTTTGGGCAATTTCTTTGGAAATGGTGGCTAATTAGCCAGTCACATATAGCCAGAGATGGCTTCTATTTTGTGTGAATGGTCAGTAAGCTCACTGAAAGTAAGGCTCTGTTGGTGGTCTTTAATGATGAACTGTAACCTCTGGTTTCATCTTTAGGCTATTAACTACATTGTTAAATTTGTGACACCTTCGTATTTCTTATCTTTGGTGGCTATAAGGACTTTCCTTTGAGCTACAAAGGTCTTTATCTTATTGCTTGTTTGGTATTGAGTGTGATGTCAAATGCATTACATATTCATGTTGTGTTAATTTTCTGACTTCTGCTCAGCAAATTGTTTGTACTGCTAAGTGTTTTGTATGTGCATGATCATTCTTTTCCCCTTTCGCTTTCTTTGATCCACAACTTGGACAAGGGGTGGTGATATTTTTTCAACTTCATGATGTAGATGGATCCTGCTTATCGACCAAGTTTAATGCAAAAGGACAATGGTGTATTTGGTGTTCCTCCATTTGCTGGCTCAGACTTGGTTTTGAGTCCTTCTCAATGGAGCAGTCATGTCGTGGGTATGTACTTCTCTAGACTTTTCTTGTGTTACATTGTCTTCTCTTGGTAATTTAATGGACTTTACTCAACTTATGTTTTATGTTTCCTGTACTAAGATCTTGGCTGAAGAATACTAAATGTGATGGGATAAGCTTATGTCCTGTTTACTTTTGAACCACATATTTCCTTGTATCCTATGACTGCTCAAAGTGTTTTTTTTTTTTTTTTTTTTTTATTTTATTTAAATTTATTCAGGAAAAGTTAGCTCATGGATTGACTTAGATTCAGAAGATGAGATCCTCCGGTGCGATTCAGAAACTACTTTGAAGCAAGAGATAGCATGGGCTTCTCATTTGTCCTTGCAGGTTGATAGCATTGAAATTTGTTTATTTATTTTATTGGAACTGCACTGTTGTGAAATATTTGAATTGCTATCTGATAGGCCACATGCGAAGCTGAATAATTTTCTGTGTGCTTTGCTAATAATTGATTGTGGAAATTGGTTATTGAGTTTACTTTCTTGCTGGCCTTTAATTGTCATCCTTTGGTTGGTGCAGGCATGCCTTCTTCCAGTTCCAAAGGGGAAATCCTGTGCTAATTATGCTAGATGTGTAAATCAGATTTTACAGGGCCTAAGCAGTATGCAGGTACCATTGTTAATCCAAATCAGTTTACATGTTTCGACCTCTGTGTAATCCACATTTGAAGCTCATTCAGTTTTCCATTTGTTATGTTCTATTGTAGTTGTGGTTGCGGATTCCATTGGTCAAGTCAGACAGTGAAACCATGGATGTGAACACTGATACCTCGGTGAGTGATGTCCTTACTGAATAAGTTTTCAAAATAGGTTTATCATTTTGATAATTATTTTTTTCCTGCTTTTGGTGGAACCTTGTAGTTTCCAGTGACTGGTTTTTCAACTTATGTCATGACTCTTGGCCAATATATATTGCACTATACATGGAATTTCAACCTCTGTTGCATATGGCTCTGGTTGACCCTCCAAAATGACAACTTTTGTGCTAAATCTATTTTAAGCATGACGAGTTGGGATGTATAGTACTCAGTCTTCTTTTGTAGTCTGTGTACAGGCTTTCTTGTTAGATGTCTTGTACCAAAGAGGTCAGGTGTGGAGAGTTGCCTCTTTTTTATTGTGCATTGAGTAGGTTAGTCAAACTTATAGGGGGCTTAAACTTTCTGCATGAATGTGGCCTTCTTTATGTGAGTAAAATAATGACAATTTGACATACCAGATGATAAAGCTCATTTTTCTTAACTTTTTTTTTGCCTTGTAGGATGATTCTTGGGAGATTTGGAATTCATTTCGTCTGCTATGTGAACATCACAATCAGTTATCAGTTGCTCTTGATGTTTTGTAAGTGTAACATAGACCATTCTCTTATAACTTGGGTAATTTGTGTTTATTCGTTTTCATTGTGCCTGAACTAACTTTCATCTTTTTTTTTTTTATCTGAACAACTTTCATTTTTCCTCAGGAGTTCTCTACCTTCTGTAAACTCTCTTGGACGCTGGTTTGGGGAATCTGTTAGAGCAGCCATATTCAGTACTGAGGTATTAAATGCTAGTCAGTGTATTGGGGAAAGTTGATTACTTGTCGGTTCAATTGTTGCGTAATTTTCTAATAGTGGTCTTGTTCATTGCCAGTGCTTTCTAACAAATGCCCGAGGCTATCCATGTCTGTCAAAGCGCCACCAAAAGCTCGTTCATGGGTTTTTCAATCATTCTATACAGGTATTTATGAAGCCATTATCAATGGTATTTTCTATGTTCTGTTGGAGTTTGTTCTCCATTTCTGTGCATTGCAGCATAAACAACCCATGGTTAAACATTTTTTTTATTGTTTACCTTCTTTTCAAATTGTTTCTTTGGTTATTGCTCAGAAGTTACTATCTCAAATAAGTTCCGATTAAAGTATGGTTTTGTAGGTGCAAAAATTCTTCATAGACATCATTAGTTTTAGATCTTATGGTCACCTTCATGCAATATTTGCTAATCTTTGTCATCATGGAAAATTTAATTGCAGATAGTTCTATCAGGAGAACCAGTGCATAGTCTTCCCAAGTTAAATTCACATATAGCTGCCAATGATAATGATAATAATGTTGATGGTAAGACCTAACTTCTGTTTTACAAGTGCGTTGTCTTGCATCATTAAAACTTGTAAGGTAATTGAACTATTTGAGGCAGGAAAGCTAAGCCAATATATGTAACTTTTTCAAGAGCTTCAAATTGTCTTTTAGAGTGCTATTTTTATTTCCTAGATGCGTTTTGTTCGATTTTGAACCTCAGGATTCATATAGATCAGATACAAATACGAAGGGACAATGTAATGGGAAAACATTTATTTATTAATCTTGCTGATACAGAACAAAAATCAAGAGGCAAGCTAGAAGATACTTTAGACTAAGAAAACACTTTCAGTTAACAAAATGTATTTTCATAAAGGCATTACCCCGACCATATAAGTGGAGTTTCTTATTTGCATTTGTTCTGTTGTCTTATGTTATTCTTGACATCTAGGTGTCCAGAAACATCCGTTGAGACCGTATTTGGATTATGTTGGCTATCTCTACCAGAGGATGGATCCCCTTCCTGAGCAAGAACGGTTTGAGGTCCCTCTCCCACTCTCTTTCTTTCTCTGTGGGTGTGAATTTGGATTGTGGAACTTTTTTCCCAGCTACTAAAAATCTTTCTGACCATTTAAGTCTCGTATGGCAGATTGGTTACAGGGATTACTTGCAGTCACCCTTACAGGTACGGTATATTTCCCAAGTGCTCTCTTGTATTATTATATTTTTGTTAGTACATGCCTTAATCACTCTTTTCCTTTTTGTTGAAATAAAAAATCCTACATTTCATTTTTACATGTAGTGATTTTCCATCCTCTTGTAATGCCAATCCAAGGTAGGCTAACTCTGCTACTCTAATGCAGCCGCTCATGGATAATCTAGAGGCTCAAACCTATGAGACATTTGAGAAGGACACGATGAAATATATCCAGGTATGCGCGTGCATTTGCAAATAACTGCATAATTAGTCTTTTCAGTTATTTTTACATTGTTATTTTCTAATATGCAATTTGTGCTTCAACAGTATAATTAAGTTAAATCATATTCATATTTAAATACATCAACGAAACAGTGGACTTTCTTTGTGTATGTTTTTCCTTTTTCTTTTTCTTCTTCTTGGAGGGACTGGGGTCAAATAATTGCTAGAGGCTGTGGTTTTTATGTTGCTCACAATTGTATTAATTTGTTTCTATCTTTGTTAGTACCAAAGAGCAATTTGTAAAGCTTTACAGGACAGGGTTCCAGATGACAAGGCATCGTCAATAACTACCGTATGCTGCCTGCTTGTCACTTTGGTTTCCTGGTTTTCTCATGAATGGTGTTTTATTAAGTTTGATGACAAAAGATCCTAACATTGCATATGTGATATTTGCATTTGTGTCAAGGTATTGATGGTTGTAGGAGCAGGACGTGGACCTCTTGTAAGGGCATCATTGCAGGTGCCCTTCTCTTCCTTCTGCATACTTCTTTTTGGACCATGTTGTTTATCTTCAGACTTGATATTACATGTGGCTGATCATATTGATGTGGATCCCATTCCCCTTGTTCATCTGTAGGCAGCTGAAGAAACTGGGCGCAAGCTTAAAGTCTACGCTGTTGAAAAAAATCCAAATGCAGTTGTTACACTTCATGTGAGTTGCAAATTCTCTCTTTATCTTGTTTCTTTCTAAAGTTGTAAAATTAATGTTTCTAGGACGTGCAACTCGTCGTACTGTACATTAACACACAAAAATGTTATTTGTGGGTATTTGTTTGAAGCAGACTTTCCTTGTTTTTCATATCCACATTTTTTGTTTTGACGTGTCTGTTTGTTGGAGCAGAGCTTGGTTAAACTGGAGGGGTGGGAAAACATTGTTACCATAATTTCATGTGATATGCGTTACTGGGATGCTCCGGAGAAAGCTGACATTTTGGTATGCAAGTAATCTTATGAATAATCATATTTTTGGTTCTGGGTTTCCTTAATAATAATAATGCCTTTGATTGTGTAATAGGTTAGTGAATTGTTGGGTTCTTTTGGCGATAACGAGCTGTCTCCTGAGTGCCTTGATGGAGCTCAGAGACTTTTGAAGGATGATGGAATCTCAATACCTTCATCGTATGTATACTTTACTTTATTTTGTAGTTTTTTTTTTTTTTTTTTTTTCCTTTTTATCAATGTTGCTTCCCTGTTATGATCTGTCCAAAAGTCTGTATTGACATTGGGATATCTTGTCATGAATCTTGATAGTGTCCAGATTTCATGGTGACTAAATGTATGTTCAACATCAGTACATCATTTTGAAAGCTATTTTTGGAGTTTTCTCCATTAGTGTGTCTAAAAAGCCTATGCGCCTCTTTTCAGGTACACAAGTTTTATCCAACCAGTGACTGCTTCAAAGCTTTACAATGATGTATGCCCGTGTCTTTGTGCCAAAAAATGTTCAATTCTATGCGTTTGAGGATTCCTTTGTAAATTATTGTTTTTATTTTTCAGGTTAAGTCGCATAAAGATATTGCACACTTCGAAACTGCTTATGTTGTTAAATTGCACAACATTGCAAGACTTGCTCCTCCTCAACCTGTGAGTTTTCTCACTGGACTGATTTGATCATAATTATATGAACTTGATTCTATTGGGAGTCATTATTCAGCAATCATTTAGTCACAAACACTGGATTTTTTGTTAGGTGTTCACGTTTGATCATCCAAACCACTCAACTGACAAAAGCAATAACCGGTACACAAAGTTGCAGTTTGGAATATCAAGTGATACTGGCTCAGCCATGATTCATGGTATGTGGTTGCATAGTTTTTGTTAAGTTGACTAATATTCATAGTATTTGTTTTGGTGAATAATAGTCTTGAAAGAAAAAGACGGTGTGTTGCATTTTGTTAACATGACTAAATTCTACTTTGATTGTACTGTTGATTCATTGGGCCTGTTTTTCAGGTCACTAAAATTACTCTTTTCTACACATTCAGGATTCGCTGGGTATTTTGATTCAACACTATACAAAGAAGTTCATCTTGGCATTGAACCGTCAACATCAACACCAAACATGTTTAGCTGGTATGTAGTCCGTCCTATCCTTTTTCTTGTTTGGTTGCTGCTTGTCATCATTGTGCTTGCTTTTCTTTGCGATTCTTACTTGAAGAAAATATTGAATTTCCTCCCCTAGTTCTGTTCTGTTTTCATGGTTATGCAATAATTGGTAAACACATGATGGCTAAAACTTGTGTGGTAGTTATATGGCTTACGTGCTGTTTATCTTTACCCTCAGGTTCCCAATATTTTTCCCACTAAGGACACCAATTGCGCTTAGTCCTGGCGCTTCTCTTGAAGTACATTTTTGGCGGTGTTGTAGTCCTACCAAGGTAATATTCTTTCTTGTTTACAAGGAATGCAGAAAAAACGGGGTCACGCACACAAAAAGTAAACTAACCTCAGTTAAATGACGATCCTGTTTTTAGTTTACAAGGATTTGAGGCCATTGTCCGTAGGCATAATGTTGAGCAGAAGAATAGGGTGCTTCTGCATCTCTCTTGTTTTATATGAACAATAAGCCTCTGAATGTTGATGCAGGTTTGGTACGAGTGGTGTGTGGCATCACCCTCCAGTTCACCGATTCACAACAGCAACGGGCGTTCATACTGGGTCGGGCTCTAGTAGCCCCGCAATTTTGTTTATTACATACTAGGCGAACGCTAATATTATTCCATGCGTAATGCGTGTTCAGTGGTTGGTCTGCCCTACAACTTTTGACATCTACGCCATTGAACTACATTAGCGGTGTGAACTAGTTTTGGTGCCCCCGCCACGGGGTGAGCAAAAATTTCGCCTGAGTTCCTCTGTATTCAGAACATGTATAAGCCAATAGCAATGTATACCAACTGTTAAGATTGGATTTTTGTTGTTTTTCAGAAAGTAGCATCTGACAGGAAATATTCTTTTACTTCTTACACCCGTTTCAATTTCGACCCAAATAAATTGAAGATTAATAAATAAAATTTGATATAAGTATATCAAAAGTAAAAATGTGGTACTGAAGTCACTTGATTAGGAGATAAAAAGATCTAGCAGTCTTTTTAGTTTATTGGGAATGATAAAAAATTGTCTTTTCAAGAGATGAGTCAAAAAAAAATTTTAAGGCAATTTTTTATATACCTACTTTTTATTATTTTTAATAATATAATCTGTACTAATTAATAAAATATTAATTGTCAACTAAAATCTAATAAAATTACTAATTTAACATTTTAATTAAAAAGGAACATGAATAAGAAATATGAGATAAAAATATAATTTCATACAATCAAATTTTATTGGTTTTTTTTTTTAAAACCTTATTTACATGTAATCTCTAAAAAAATAATAACCTCCCGTTACTACATTCTCTATCACTCTCTTCTTCTCTCCTATTTCAAAAACAAAAATAAAAAAAATTTCTCATACACTTTATGTGTGCCCATATGCTAGTAAAATATTAAGCAAAGTGAGAAGAGCAAACTCTATTTAACCGGTAAAAATGGTCCTAACCAATTTAAAAACCCGAATGTTACACGTGGTAAAGCGTTAATAAACAAGTGCACTTTTTGAAGAGATTTTTCTACGTACATAAATCGGTACACAAGTCATCATAGTACTAGTGGAGGAACTGATATATTATCATTCTCCTCTTTTTTATTATGATGCGTGGTGTGTTAGTTTGTATTTTGAAAATACAATAAAATCTCTCCACTTCTTTACCGGAGCTGCCATCTGAGATCTAGCTGGGATCTCAGGCAACTCGGTTTTAAGTGCATAAAATACTGCTGATATCTCTCCACATAAGCTTGAAGGAAATGGTACACAGATTGAAGATCAGATACTGACCAGAAAAACAGTGACGGTCATGCTGTGATCGGAACCGGTGACGGTTCTAGATGTCTCGATGCACCGTGAATCGAGAATCCATGGCCTCTGTGACAGGCACAGAGGGCCAGGCATGGGCACGTTCCACATAAAAAGCTTTGAAATATTGCTAACAAGAGCTAAAATCCTTTTGTAACTGCACATTATTAAACACACTGAATTTTACAAGAGAATTGTTATTAGCACTCCAAAAATCTTATTCTACACTTGTCATAAATGTTTTCTTTCTAATTATAGAAACTTTGGAGTTCTAATAACAATTCCCTTTTACAAGACGGCACTGTTTTCACCATGCAAGTAAGTCTTAGAATACATATTCTTTCAAACAATACAGGTTTCTTTACAAACAACTTAAGCTTAAGCTGGTATTCGGAGTTTTGATGACTCAAGCGCAACGACTTTAACGACTCCTGCAACCCAGAAAAGAAACCATGTAAGGAAATCACCCAACTCAACTCACCAAGTTAAATGAACAAAAAATTTTGCAACGAAAACCCAGTCGACGAAGCGATGCACTACAAAGAATACCCTAAACTTGTTTGCAGTTAAAGAATTGTGTGACATTTAGAAAGCCATGGTTGTGGCTATTTTGGAGTGTAGCTGATAAGTCAGTAATGTGGGTGACCTTTATTGGCAAAATTCACCAGACCAATGTATAGGGTGGGTCGGAAACTGTGTCTGGGTAAGGAACTTCAAAGTACGAAGATATCGCGAAGTGATGTTATTTTAAATAAGAGTATTATACAGCTATTTGTTTGGGCAACCTGCTCACTAAAGTACAACTAATCATGGATTTGCAAGTTTAATTTCAAAGTTCACATCAAACCCTAACTGGCTTGAAAATTATAACAGCCATTGGTAAACACATACAAGAAAACAACAAAATTCAAATGTGAAATACGATTTCCAGTTCCACTCAAACTTATAATTATCTAACTTTCTCAGCAACAAAACAATTTGCTCCCTCTTAAAGAGGGAACAATATTCGTTGTTAAAGAACAAAAAAAAGGAGATTGCAAGAGATGGAAGCACTAGGCAAAAGAAACACAATGCAGGTTGTGAAACAAAGTGATGCTGGGAAAGGTTGACCGCATCCAATAAAGAACCAGAGAGCAAAGAGACGTTGACATTGGATTTAGAACCAGAGCAAGAAGACGCAAGGAAGAAAGGAAGAAAGGAAGAAAGGAAGAAAGGAAGATAGGACAGGGGATTTGCTTCAATGAAGGAAACAAGACTATCTGACAATAAAGAGCAAAAATGCTTTTATTAATGTACGTAAAGAAGAGAAATACCGAATTATACAAAATTTGGGATCTGTTCTCACCAGAAAATCATATTATCTTAGAATACAAATTACCGCTTTCAAGTACTACAAGTTTCAATACAACTCAAAATATCAAAGCAGATGTTAATTTGAAACGAAGAGCTTTCCCTAATTGCTATACCTCAAAAAATGACAAATAATGTAAGACTCCTGCAATCCAAACCGGAACCACATGCCATCAAATACACAAATCACCAAGATTGAAAACAGAAAATCTTCCCCAACAAATTCAACTAAGTTGAATGAACAAGAACGGTTTTCAACGAAACCCATTTCCTCAAAACTTAGTTCACAGAAAACTATACAGAGATCAGAGACAAGTGAATCAACACAGTGATACAACTCATGATCACTACACACAAAAAAAGCCATAAATTTGCAAAGCAAAAGACCATACAAAGACAACATCAAAGAACAAATCTAGGAAATAACAAAATCCTATACATTTTCAGTTCCACTCAATCTTATATTACTCCAACTTTAAAATAGATGTCTCAGCAACCAAAAATATTGTCCCCTCTTACAGATGAGACAAAAACTCAGGAGATGGTAGCAGATAGAAGAACCAGAAGTGATAAGGAAGCAGAACGTAGGTTGTGAAATGAAGTGTGCTAGGAAATTGAAGGGTCGGAGAGATCTGTTGAAGAAGCAGAGAGCAAAGTGGCATCCAATGAAGAACTAGAGAGCGACAGAAGAGAAAACAATGAAAGGAAGACAGAATCAGGACATACAGAACTATGCAAATATTTGGGTGTGGGAACTGTTCTCACCAGAAAAACGTAGTATCTTCGAATGCAAAGTACCACTTTCAAATAACATTCAATACAGAAAACCGTAGTATCTTTGATTTCTTGGCGGACGAAACGACAGAAAACCGTTTCGCTCTCTTCAGCAGAGGCGGAATATAGGGCCATGGCAGGTGCTTGTTGCGAGATAGTTTGGCTTCGTTTTTTGTTGAAGGATTTGAACATTCCTTTGGATGGTCCTTCCATTTTATTTTGTGATAATCAAGCAGTGTTACATATAGCTGCCAATCCTGTTTTTCATGAACGAACTCGTCACATTGAGATGGATTGTCACTTTATACGAGATAAGATTGTAGATGGCACAATAGAGACCAAGCATGTGGGTACGGCACAACAGTTGGCAGACTTGTTTACCAAACCTCTTGGGAAAGAAAAGTTTTCGGGTATGTTACGCAAGTTGGGAGTTCTTGACATCCACTCTCCAACTTGAGGGGGAGTGTTAGACAAATAAGGAATATGGTTGGAGTCCTTGTGTAATTGTATATAATATTATTATTGGAAGAATAAGCCGTCCTACAGCCGTCCTACCTTGTCCTACCTACACACTAGCCGTCCTACAGCCGTCCTACCTTGTCCTACCTACACATTAGGACGGCTACCTTGTCCTCTACAGCCGTCCTACCTTGTCCTACCTACACACTAGGACGGCTACCTTGTCCTACCTACACATTTGTATCATGTATATATATCCTTGTAATCTTGTAGAGAAAGATAATGAAAAAATAAGCATTCTCTTCCATAAGCATTCTCTTCCATTTGCATTCTCTTCCATTTTTCCACATTCATGTATCAATAACAAATATAATTTTTAGCCTACATACCTTTTTCTACATATTTGCTTGTCAATTATTTGTGGGTATGAATTTCTTAGTTAATGTTTATGTGTTGTCTGACCGACTTGTTTTATAGGCGTTTGGGCAATTTCTTTGGAAATGGTGGCTAATTAGCCAGTCACATATAGCCAGAGATGGCTTCTATTTTGTGTGAACGGTCAGTAAGCTCACCGAAAGTAAGGCTCTGTTGGTGGTCTTTAATGATGAACTGTAACCTCTGGTTTCATCTTTAGGCTATTAACTACATTTTTAAATTTGTGACACCTTTGTATTTCTTATCTTTGGTGGCTATAAGGACTTTCCTGTGAGCTACAAAGGTCTTTATCTTATTGCTTGTTTGGTATTGAGTGTGATGTCAAATGCATTACATATTCATGTTGTGTTAATTTTCTGACTTCTGCTCAGCAAATTGTTTGTACTGCTAAGTGTTTTGTATGTGCATGATCATTCTTTTCCCCTTTCGCTTTCTTTGATCCACAACTTGGACAAGGGGTGGTGATATTTTTTCAACTTCATGATGTAGATGGATCCTGCTTATCGACCAAGTTTAATGCAAAAAGACAGTGGTGTGTCTGGTGTTCCTCCATTTGCTGGCTCAGACTTGGTTTTGAGTCCTTCTCAATGGAGCAGTCATGTCGTGGGTATGTACTTCTCTAGACTTTTCTTGTGTTACACCTCTTGGTAATTTAATGGACTTTACTCAACTTATGTTTTATGTTTCCTGTACTAAGATCTTGGCTGAAGAATACTAAATGTGATGGGATAAGCTTATGTCCTGTTTACTTTTCAACCACCCTTGTATCCTATGACTGCTCAAAGTGTTTTTTTTTTTTTTTTTTTTTTTTTTTTTTTTTTTTAAATTTATTCAGGAAAAGTTAGCTCATGGATTGACTTAGATTCAGAAGATGAGATCCTCCGGTGCGATTCTGAAACTACTTTGAAGCAAGATATAGCACGGGCTTCTCATTTGTCCTTGCAGGTTGATAGCATTGAAATTTGTTTCTTTATTTTATTGGAACTGCACTGTTGTGAAATATTTGAATTGCTATCTGATAGGCCACATGCGAAGCTGAATAATTTTCCGTGTGCTTTGCTAATAATTGATTGTGGAAATTGGTTATTGAGTTTACTTTCTTGCTGGCCCTTAATTGTCATCCTTTGGTTGGTGCAGGCATGCCTTCTTCCAGTTCCAAAGGGGAAATCCTGTGCTAATTATGCTAGATGTGTAAATCACATTTTACAGGGCCTAAGCAGTATGCAGGTACCATTGTTAATCCAAATCTGTTTACATATTTCGACCTCTGTGTAATCCACATTTGAAGCTCATTCACTTTTCCATTTGTTATGTTCTATTGTAGTTGTGGTTGCGCATTCCATTGGTCAAGTCAGACAGTGAAACGATGGATGTGAACACTGATACCTCGGTGAGTGATGTCCTTACTGAATAAGTTTTCAAAATAGGTTTATCATTTTGATAATTATTTTTTCCTGCTTTTGGTGGAACCTTGTAGTTTCCAGTGACTGGTTTTTCAACTTATGTCATGACTCTTGGCCAATATATATTGCACTATACATGGAATTTCAACCTCTGTTGCATATGGCTCTGGTTGACCCTCCAAAATGACAACTCTTGTGCTAAATCTATTTTAAGCATGACGAGTTGGGATGTATAGTACTCAGTCTTCTTTTGTAGTCTGTGTACAGGCTTTCTTGTTAGATGTCTTATACCAAAGAGGTCAGGTGTGGAGAGTTGCCTCTTTTTTATTGTGCATTGAGTAGGTTAGTCAAACTTAAAGGGGGCTTAAACTTTCTGCATGAATGTGGCCTTCTTTATGTGAGTAAAATAATGACAATTTGACATACCAGATGATAAAGCTCATTTTTCTTAACTTTTTTTTTGCCTTGCAGGATGATTCTTGGGAGATTTGGAATTCATTTCGTCTGCTATGTGAACATCACAATCAGTTATCAGTTGCTCTTGATGTTTTGTAAGTGTAACAATGACCTTTCTCTTATAACTTGGGTAATTTGTGTTTATTTGTTTTCATTGTGCCTGAACTAACTTTCATCTTTTTTTTTTTTTTATCTGAACAACTTTCATTTTTCCTCAGGAGTTCTCTACCTTCTGTAAACTCTCTTGGACGCTGGTTTGAGGAATCTGTTAGAGCAGCCATATTCAGCACTGAGGTATTAAATGCTAGTCGGTGTATTGGGGAAAGTTGATTACTTGTTGATTCAATTGTTGCGTAATTTTCTAATAGTGGTCTTGTTCATTGCCAGTGCTTTCTAACAAATGCCCGAGGCTATCCATGTCTGTCAAAGCGCCACCAAAAGCTTGTTCATGGGTTTTTCAATCATTCTATACAGGTATTTATGAAGCCGTTATCAATGGTATTTTCTATGTTCTGTTGGCGTTTGTTCTCCATTTCTGTGTATTGCAGCATAAACAACCCATGGTTAAACATTTTTTTTTATTGTTTACCTTCTTTTCAAATTGTTTCTTTGGTTATTGCTCAGAAGTTACTATCTCAAATAAGTTCCGATTTAAGTATGATTTTGTAGGTGCAAAAGTTCTTCATAGACATCATTAGTTTTAGATCTTATGGTCACCTTCATGCAATAGTTGCTAATCTTTGTCATCATGGAAAATTTAATTGCAGATAGTTCTATCAGGAGAACCGGTGCATGGTATTCCCAAGTTAAATTCACATATAGCTGCCAATGATAATGATAATAATGTTGATGGTAAGACCTAACTTCTGTTTTACAAGTGCATTGTCTTGAATCAGAGGCAGGAAAGCTAAGCCAATATATGTAACTTTTTCAAGAGCTTCAAATTGTCTTTTAGAGTGCTATTTTTATTTCCTAGATGAGTTTTGTTCAATTTTGAACCTCAGGATTCATATAGATCAGATACAAATACGAAGGGACAATGTAATGGGAAAACATTTATTTATTAATCTTGCTGGTACAGAACAAAAATCAAGAGGCAAGCTAGAAGATACCTTAGACTAAGAAAACACTTTCAGTTAACAAAATGTATTTTCATAAAGGCATTACCCCGACCATATAAGTGGAGTTCCTTATTTGCATTTGTTCTGTTGTCTTATGTTATTCTTGACATCTAGGTGTCCAGAAACATCCGTTGAGACCGTATTTGGATTATGTTGGCTATCTCTACCAGAGGATGGATCCCCTTCCTGAGCAAGAACGGTTTGAGGTCCCTCTCCCACTCTCTTTCTTTCTCTGTGGGTGTGAATTTGGATTGCGGAACTTTTTTCCCAGCTATTAAAAATCGTTCTGACCATTTAAGTCTCGTATGGCAGATTGGTTACAGGGATTACTTGCAGTCACCCTTACAGGTACGGTATATTTCCCAAGTGCTCTCTTGTATTATTATCTTTTTGTTAGTACATGCCTTAATCACTCTTTTCCTTTTTGTTGAAATAAAAAATCCTACATATCATTTTTACATGTAGTGATTTTCCATCCTCTTGTAATGCCAATCCAAGGTAGGCTAACTCTGCTACTCTAATGCAGCCGCTCATGGATAATCTAGAGGCTCAAACCTACGAGACATTTGAGGAGGACACGATGAAATATATCCAGGTATGCGCGTGCATTTGCAAATAATTGCATAAATAGTCTTTTCAGATATTTTTAAGTTGTTATTTTCTATTATGCAATTTGCGCTTCAACAGTATAATTAAGTTAAATCATAATCATATTTAAATACATCAACGAAACATTGGACTTTCTTTGTGTATGTTTTTCCATTTTCTTTTTCTTCTTCTTGGAGGGACTGGGTTCTGATGAATAGGAAGACATGGTAATGCGCATTACTCTAGTTTTTCTATGGGGTCAAATAATTGCTAGAGGCTGTGGTTTTTGTATTGCTCACAATTGTATTAATTTGTTTCTATCTTTGTTAGTACCAAAGAGCAATTTGTAAAGCTTTACAGGACAGGGTTCCAGATGACAAGGCATCGTCAATAACTACCGTATGCTGCCCACTTGTCACTTTGCTTTCCTGGTTTTCTTATGAATGGTGTTTTATTAAGTTTGATGACAAAAGATCCTAACATTGCATATGTGATATTTTCATTTGTGTCAAGGTATTGATGGTTGTAGGAGCAGGACGTGGACCTCTTGTAAGGGCATCATTGCAGGTGCCCTTCTCTTCCTTCTGCATACTTCTTTTTGGACCATGTTGTTTATCTTCAGACTTGATATTACATGTGGTGGATCATATTGATGTGGATCCCATTCCTCTTGTTCATCTGTAGGCAGCTGAAGAAACTGGGCGCAAGCTTAAAGTCTACGCTGTTGAAAAAAATCCAAATGCAGTTGTTACACTTCATGTGAGTTGCGAATTCTCTCTTTATCTTGTTTCTTTCTAAAGTTGTAAAATTAATGTTTCTAGGACGTGCAACTCATCGTAATGTACGTTAACACACAAAAATGTTATTTGTGGGTATTTGTTTGAAGCAGACTTTCCTTGTTTTTTCATATCCACATTTTTTGTTTTGACGTGTCTGTTTGTTGGAGCAGAGCTTGGTTAAACTGGAGGGGTGGGAAAACATTGTTACCATAATTTCATGTGATATGCGTTACTGGGATGCTCCGGAGAAAGCTGACATTTTGGTATGCAAGTAATCTTATGAATAATCATATTTTTGTTTCTGGGTTTCCTTAATAATATTGCCTTTGATTGTGTAATAGGTTAGTGAATTGTTGGGTTCTTTTGGCGATAACGAGCTGTCTCCTGAGTGCCTTGATGGAGCTCAGAGACTTTTGAAGGATGATGGAATCTCAATACCTTCATCGTATGTATACTTTTCTTTATTTTGTAGTTTTTTTTTTTTTTTTTTTTTTTTTTTTTTATCAATGTTGCTTCCCTGTTATGATCTGTCCAAAAGTCAGTATTGACATTGGGATATCTTGTCGTGAATCTTGATAGTGTCCAGATTTCATGGTGACTAAATGTTCAACATCAGTACATCATTTTGAAAGCTATTTTTGGAGCTTTCTCCATTAGTGTCTAAAAAGCCTATGCACCTCTTTTCAGGTACACGAGTTTTATCCAACCAGTGACTGCTTCAAAGCTTTACAATGATGTATGCCCATGTCTTTGTGCCAAAAAATGTTCAATTCTATGTGTTTGAGGATTCCTTTGTAAATTATTGTTTTTATTTTTCAGGTTAAGTCGCATAAAGATATTTCACACTTCGAAACTGCTTATGTTGTTAAATTGCACAACATTGCAAGACTTGCTCCTCCTCAACCTGTGAGTTTTCTCACTGGACTGATTTGATCTTAATTATATGAACTTGATTCTATTGGGAGTCATTATTCAGCAATCATTTAGTCACAAACACTGGATTTTTTGTTAGGTGTTTACGTTTGATCATCCAAACCACTCAACTGACAAAAGCAATAACCGGTACACAAAGTTGCAGTTTGGAATATCAAGTGATACTGGCTCAGCCATGATTCATGGTATGTGGTTGCATAGTTTTTGTTAAGTTGACTAATATTCATAGTATTTGTTTTGGTGAATAATAGTCTTGAAAGAAAAAGACGGTGCGTTGCATTTTGTTAACATGACTAAATTCTACTTTGATTGTACTGTTGATTCATTGGGCCTATTTTTCAGGTCACTAAAATTACTCTTTTCTACACATTCAGGATTCGCTGGGTATTTTGATTCAACACTATACAAAGAAGTTCATCTGGGCATTGAACCGTCAACATCAACACCAAACATGTTTAGCTGGTATGTAGTCCGTCCTATCCTTTTTCTTGTTTGGTTGCTGCTTGTCATCATTGTGCTTGCTTTTCTTTGCGATTGTTACTTCTCGAAGAAAATATTGAATTTCCTCCCCTAGTTCTGTTCTTTTTTCATGGTTATGCAATAATTGGTAAACACATGGTGGCTAAAACTTGTGTGGTAGTTATATGGCTTACGTGCTGTTTATCTTTACCCTCAGGTTCCCAATATTTTTCCCACTAAGGACACCAATTACGCTTGGTCCTGGCGCTTCTCTTGAAGTACATTTTTGGCGGTGTTGTAGTCCTACCAAGGTAATATTCTTTCTTGTTTACAAGGAATGCAGAAAAAACGGGGTCACGCACACAAAAAGTAAACTAACCTCAGTTAAAAGACGATCCTGTTTTTAGTTTACAAGGATTTGAGGCCATTGTCCGTAGGCATAATGTTGAGCAGAAGAATAGGGTGCTTCTGCATCTCTCTTGTTTTATATGAACAATAAGCCTCTGAATGTTGATGCAGGTTTGGTACGAGTGGTGTGTGGCATCACCCTCCAGTTCACCGATTCACAACGGCAACGGGCGTTCATACTGGGTCGGGCTCTAGTAGCCCCGCAATTTTGTTTATTACATACTAGGCGGACGCTAATATTATTCCATGCGTAATGCGTGTTCAGTGGTTGGTCTGCCCTACAACTTTTGACATCTACGCCATTGAACTACATTAGCGGTGTGAACTAGTTTTGGTGCCCCCGCCACGGGGTGAGCAAAAATTTCGCCTGAGTTCCTCTGTATTCAGAATATGTATAAGCCAATAGCAATGTATGCCAACCGTTAAGATTGGATTTTTGTTGTTTTTCAGAAAGTAGCATCTGACGGGAAATATTTTTTTACTTCTTACACCCGTTTCAATTTCAACCATTAAATCAAATAAATTGAAGATTAATAAATAAAATTTGATTTAAGTATATGAGAAGTAAAAATGTGGTACTGAAGTCACTTGATTAGGAGATGAAAAGATCTAGTGGTCTTTAGCAGTCTTTATGGTCTTTATGGTTTATTGGGAATGATAAAAAATTGTCTTTTCAAGAGATAAGTCGGAAAAAGAAACATTTAAGGCAATTTTTTATATGCATACTTTTTATTATTTTTAATAATATAATTTCTATTAATTAATAAAACACTAATTATCGATTAAAATCTTATGAAATTATCAATTTAATCCTTTAATAAATATGGGCACAAATATAATTTTACATAACTAAATTTTGTTTTTTTTTTCTTCAAAGCATTATCTACATATAATTTTAAAATATCTCTAATTAAAAAAAAAAAAAAAAAAAAAAAGGCCTCCCACTCCCACATTCTCTATCACTCTCTTCCTCTCTTCTATTTCAAAAACAAAAATAAAAAAAAAATTCTCATGCACTTTATGTGTGCCCATATGCTAGTAAAATATTATGTAAAGTGAGTAGAGTAAACCCTATTTAACCGGTAAAAATGGTCCTAACCAATTTAAAAACCTGAATGTTACCCATGGTAAAGCGTTATTAAACAAGTGCACTTTTTGAAGAGATTTTTCTACGTACATAAATCGGCACACAAGTCATCATAGTACTAGTGGAGGAACCGATATCTTATCATTCTTCTCATTTTTATTATGACGCGTGGTGTGTCAGTTTGTATTTTGAAAATACAATAAAATCACTCCACTTCTTTACCGGAGCTGCCACCTGAGATCTAGCTGGGATCTCAGGCAACTCGGTTTTAAGTCCATAAAATACTATTGATATCTCTCCACATAAGCTTGAAGAAAATGGTACACAGATTCAACATTCAAGGTCAGATACTGACTAGAAAAACAGTGACGGTCATGCTGTGATCGGAACCGATGACAGTTCTAGATGTCACGACGCACCATGAATCGAGAATCCATGGCCTCTGTGACTGGCACGGAGGGCCAGGCATGGGCACGTTCCACATAAAAAGCTTTGAAATATTGCTAACAAGAGCTAATATCCTTTTGTAACTGCACATTATTAAACACACTGAATTTTACAAGAGAATTGTTACTAGCACTCCAAAAATCTTATTCTATACTAGTCATAAATGTTTTCTTTCTAATTATAGAAAGTTTGGAGTTCTAATAACAATTCCCTTTTACAAGACGGCATTGTTTTCACCATGCAATTAAGTCTTAGAATACATATTCTTTCAAACAATACAGGTTTATTTACAAACAACTTAAGATTAAGCTGGTATTCGGAGTTTTGATGACTCAAGCACAACGACTTTAACGACTCCTGCAACCCAGAAAAGAAACCATGTAAGGAAATCACCCAACTCAACTCACCAAGTTAAATGAACAAAAAATTTTGCAACGAAAATCCAGTCGACGAAGCGATGCACTACAAAGAATACCCTAAACTTGTATGCAGTTAAAGAATTGTGTGACATTTAGAAAGCCATGGTTGTGGCTATTTTGGAGATTAGCTGATAAGTCAGTATGGCAAAATTCACCAGACCAATGTATAGGGTGGGTCGGAAACTGTGTTTGGTTAAGGAACTTCAAAGTACGAAGATACCGCGAAGTGATGTTATTTTAAATAGGAGTATTATACAGCTATTTGTTTGGGCAACCTGCTCACTAAAGTGCAACTAATCATGGATTTGCAAGTTTAATTTCAAAGTTCACATCAAACCCTAACTGGCTTGAAAATTATATTATCTTACTTTCTCAGCAACAAAACAATTTGCTCCCTCTTAAAGAGGGAACAATGTTCGTTGTTAAAGAACAAAACTAGGAGATCGCAAGAGATGGAAGCACTAGGCAAAAGAAACACAATGTAGGTTGTGAAACAAAGTGATGCTGGGAAAGGTTGACCACATCCACTAAAGAACCAGTGAGCAAAGAGACGTTGACATTCGATTTAGAACCAGAGCAAGAAGAAGCAAGGAAGAAAATCATATTATCTTTGAATACAAATTAGCGCTTTCAAGTACTACAAGTTTCAATACAACTCAAAATATCAAAGCAGAAGATGTTAATTCGAAACGAAGAGCTTTCCCTAATTGCTATACCGCAAAAAATGACAAATAATGTAAGACTCCTGCAATCCAAACCGGAACCAGATGCCGTCAAACACATAAATCACCAAGATTGAAAAAAGAAAATCTTCCCCAACAAATTCAACCAAGTTGAATGAACAAGAACACTTTCCAACGAAACCCATTTCCTCAAAACTTAGTTCACAGAAAACTATACAGAGATCAAAAACTCAAGAGATGGTAACAGATAGAAGAACCAGAAGTGATAAGGAAGCAGAACGTAGGCTGTGAAATGAAGTGTGTTAGGAAATTGAAAGGTTGGAGAGATCTGTTGAAGAAGCAGAGAGCAAAGTGGCATCTAATGAAGAACTAGAGAGAGACAGAAGAGAGAACAACGAAAAGAAGACAGAATCAGGACATACAGAACTATGCAAATATTTGGGTGTGGGAACTGTTCTCACCAGAAAAACATATTACCTTCAAATGCAGAGTACCACTTTCAAATAACGTTCAATACAACTCAAAATATAAAAGCAGAAGCTATTAATTCAAAAAGAAGAGCTTTCCCAAGTTGCTATACCTCAAAAAAGCACAAATAATGTCACTACTCCTGCAATCCATACCAGAACCAGGACAGAAACGATCGAACACACAAACCACCAAGACTGAAAAAGGAAACAAATCACACACACACAAAAAGACAGGACCAAAGAACAAAACCAGAAAACTTTAAACTTCCTCAGCACAGACCAGAAAAATAAAATTAAAGAGCAAAACCAGAAAACAACAACAAAATCCAAATATGTTCAGTTATGCGATAAAACTCGTAATCACTACACAAAAAGTCCTAAATTTGCTTAGCAAAGTGCAATCAAAACACAGAATCAAAGTCGAAAATCAAAACACGAAACCGAAAACACACAACCAAAGCACAAAATCAAAACTTGTTAAGCACAGATTATTAGAAAACGAAAGAGAGATGTACCTTAATTTCCTCCAGCACAGGGGAAGAACCTAACAACCAAACACATACAATTTAGGTCATGAATCGATATTATCGCATAGATAGTTAAGTAGAAGCTCTGAGAGAGTTTAATTAATTTTTACCTCAAGCGCCGGAAATTGGAGATCACCTCTGGGTGGCAACTAAGTCTCCCTTCCACTAGCCGGAATTTCAACTTCCCGTTAACAGCTAAATCATTAGCCGCAAGGATCAGCGGCGGTTCATCGCCGGGAAGCTTCACGGTGGCATGAAGGCACCGAGGGGTAGAGGAAGTCCGGTGTCGGTTTATGAATTGGGTGCCCCTTATCTTTCTCCTCTCACCAGGCCGGAGGCTAACAATCACTCTACCCTGCCTTTCAACCCTCTCCACCTCCGTTAGCTCGATGTCCACGCCCGGACTGGTCTCGTTAACGAGCTCCACGGATCGAGCGAGACCGCCACACATTGCAAGTCTAGGCGATTGATTTTTGGTTATCGGTCCGAGCCTAACAATCTATTCGCGTTGTAGTATCTGTCTTGTTAAGCAAATGAGAATAAAATAATCTATCCCTTTTCGTACATAAGCTGAAGAATCTTGGATTATTTTGATGGAAAATGATTACTTTGACTGAAAAGACAATTTTTAATCATTCCAAATACTCAACTATAACTGACATGCCAATGAGTCAGCGAAAAGGCTGTTAAAGCCGACAGAATTCACACGTCAGTGATGTTCATGTCAATGATGTCAGCAAAAAGGGAATTGGATCCCTTCCGAGCAAATGCTCGGGATCCTCATGACCAACCAACCAACCAACATGGGCCGTTGGATCAAAATCCAACGGTTACAAATAGAGATTCTCTTTAAAAGTTATAATAATTGTAGTAGTTGGATCAAAATCCAACGGCCTGTGTTCGTGGATCATGAGGATCCCGAGCATTTGCTCAGGAGGGGATCCAATTCCAACGAAAAGGATGTTAAAGCCGACGAGTAATTGGCATGTGGGCAAAGAGGAGCTCCTCCTGCGGGCGGGACTACACTTTTGACATTGTTAAGTTCAAGCTCCATAAATTATCATTGACCGATGTTTCTTAGATCAATTAATTAAGGTCTCGTTTGGCAGCTCGGACTGTACTGACTATTTCTGTCGGATAGGATAAATAGTCACCGGATAGTACTGACTAAATTAGTCGGGTTTTTGGTGCAGTATCGGACTAGTGACCGTATTATTTATACTGTGTTTGATATTATACTAGATAGGAGGCATCAAACTTTAAAAATTTTTTTTTTTAAAAAATGAAATCATTTTTTTGTTCCCAGGTCTCTCCGCACCCCCAAACACCCTCCCTCTCTCTCCCTTCTTCTTCCCTGACGATAGAAGAATCCCAAATAATTGTTCCCCAGCTCTCTCCGCCACACCCCCAAACTCCCTCCCTTTCTCTCCCATATTCTTCTTCCCCGACTAAATAATCCGGACGTTTTGGTTGGTTTTATTAAGCGGGTGTATACCGTATTATCCTATCCGACCGGTTAAATTAATCCGGTGCTTATTTAGTACGAGTGAACGCCAAACATCCGGGTCTGTATAACTAATCCTATCCAATCTGCCAAACAGGGCCTAAATTAATGCACGCGCTCCGTTGCATTCAAAGTTTGAGTTTGTTTTCTCGTAAATTATAGTTTAAAATATTATTTTGTTAATTAAAAAGAAAGTTTGATAGGCTGCCTCAATTAGTGGGCCTGGTCATTTGATTTCTAAGCAATTATTAAAGGAACATTCTATCACGTTCATTTGTGGTGCATAGTCAACCAAGGTAGGATCTAGCAGTCTTTATATTCTTTATAGTTTATTGGGAATGATAAAAAAATTAGTAAATTACATTTTACTCTCATTAGGTTTTGAATCGATTTCAATTCCTTATAATATCTTTAAAACATTTCACTTTCATACATCAAGTACTATTTTATTTCAAAATAATGTATCCGTTATATTTTCATCAATTGGTCCGTTAAGAGCTGACGTGGCTGCCATGTGACATTTTTTTATTGCATTTAAAATATTATAATAATTTAGCCTATTAATAAAAGATCAGGTGAGGTCAACATCATCAAAAGCTAAGCTATTTGTTAACAAAATAATTTTTGTCAACTTAAAAAAAAGTTGAAAAACAATTTGATATTTTATCACAAAATAAATTATGGACAATAATATAATTTTACACATACTATTTTTTTTTTTTCAAATCTAATCTGCATGTCATCATAGCATCTCTAATTAAATTAAAAAAATAAAAAAATAAAAAAAACCCACATTGTTTTCTCTCTCACATTTCTCTCAAACTTCTCTTATATATATATATATATATATATATATATATATATATTATGTGTTTTTCCCGGTTTAGAAGTGTTTTAAAATGATTAAAAATATTTTTGATGAAAATGTTGGAATCAGTTTCTAATAAAAATGCAAGTGAATCATAAAAAACTCCTGAAGAGATTTCTGCAAGAAACACATAATTAATACTTTTTGTAAAAACCTGCTTTAAGTACTTTTCAAACCAAAAACACTTTCTCTAAAATCACTTTTCCAAAAAACACATTGTTAAAATGAAATGTTGTCACGCACGCACGCACGGTGGAAAATACGGCCACGTTGGTTAGATATGCATCACCAAAACTAGTTCACTCCCCCCCCCCCCCCCCCCCCCCGCGGGGGCCGATTTTGTTGAAAACGAAATCCGTGTGCCGTGCTCCATTACTATAAAGAAGAGATTTTCAACACGTTTCTTTTAAATATGTCGTCATTATAAGATTTTCAACACAACAGGCGTTCATACTGGGTCGGGCTCCAGTTCACCGATTCATGATTTTTGGTGCCCCCACCACGGGGGAGCAAAAATTGTCTTTCAGTCAACTTGGTTGAAGATTTTCTTACATGGTGTCTTTTCTAGATTGCAGGAGTCGTTAAATTCGTTGTGCTTGAGTCAAGCCAGTGTGAAAACTCAGGAATACCAGCTTAATCTTGAGTTGTAATTTGTAAAGAAACCTGTATTGTTTGAAAGAAACTGTATTCTAAATTTCTAAGACTTAATTGCATGGTGAAAACAGTACCGTCTTGTAAAATTCAGTGTGTTTAATAATGTGCAGTTACAAAAGGATTTTAGCTCTTGTTAGCAATATTTCAAAGCTTTTTATGGGCAACGTGCCCATGCCTGGCCCTCTATGCCAGTCACCAGTTCCGGTCACAGCATCACCGTCACTGTTTTTCTAGTCAGTATCTGACCTTGAATCAGTGTACCATTTTCTTTCAAGCTTTTGTGGAGAGATATCAATAGTATTTTCAGGACTTAAAACCGAGTCGCCTGAGATCCCAGTTAGATCTCAGGTGGCACCTCCGGTAAAGAAGTGGAGAGGTTTTATTGTATTTTCAATTATATGATAAGTTTGAATAACTGTCCAAGAAAGAATGGTGATGTTTGACCTCACTTAGGCTTAGACTGAGACTAGGGCTTTCAAAGGGAATTAAGCCGTATACTGACAATGGTGATGTTTGACTGGTTCTATGTAAGTGAATTAACCATTGTCAGTCTTTAATTTTGTTTTTCTGGTCTGTGCTTAGAAAGTTTAAGGTTTTCTGGTTTTGTTCTTTGGTCCTGTCTTCGTGTGTGTGTGTGATTTGTTTCCTTTTTCAGTCTCGGTGGTTTGTGTGTTCGATCCTTTCTGTCTTGGTTCTGGTATGGATTGCAGGAGTAGTGAGTGCTTTTTTGAGGTATAGGTAATGCCTTTATGAAAATACATTTTGTTAACTGAAAGTGTTTTCTTAGTCTAAATATCTTCTAGCTTGCCTCTTGATTTTTGTTCTGTATCAGCAAGATTAATAAATAAATGCTGTCCCATTACATTGTCCCTTCGTATTTTTATCTGATCTTACGTGGCAGTTCCGGTTAAAAAAGTAGAGAGATTTTATTGTATTTTCAAAATACAAACCAACACACCACGCAGCATAATAAAAATGAAGAGTATAAAATCATATCACCGTTAATTGTAGTATATTTGCGGTACAATTGTTTATGTTTCAATCTTTGTACCCATGAACCAATATTTTCTTTTGTCTTTCTACCCACAAAGTGCAAATTATACCTGCCTACCAATTGTAATGTGGAGTATACACATGTTATAAAAATTGTATATGTAACAAGTCAAGAAAAACCATAACATGTATTTGGGTGCAAATATCCCAAATGCACCAATGGGTACGTTTAAATTCACATGTACCCGTTATATAAATAACTTGGATTCAAACTAAAATATAAACGAAATAAAAAAGCTATCTACCAAAACATATTTTGTTTTGCCTAAAATGTAGGAATTGATTAGTTCTCACTAATCTTATGAAATCTTGAAAAGTAATGAATTAATTACATTTATGGGTGGCGTAAAGTTTTAAATGTAAATATACTGATATGTATAAAGTGGAAGGACATTGATCAAAAATTAAAAATCAATAGGATTTCGATCAAAAGAGATTGGTGGTTGGGGATTGCATCTTAATTTCTCCATAAAAATAATAATAAAAAGAAAAAAGGTGTTTTGTGTATCTGATTTGTAACTACATTTTCTATTGCAGATTATTGCCAAAGCAGTTTATATAAGCTATGGATTACACTTGTCAAAGGCTGATGCACCGCTAGTCTCTAGCAGATGATTACACTTCCCCGGTTATGGATTTCCAGGGACTTATCACACTTGGGCCGACTCTTCTCAATATGTAATTTCTCACCTGCGTTTGCAATCAGCGCCAGATTTGATGGCATTTTCCCTCCGAGGACTGCATGTTTAAAAGACATCTGAGGAACCACGCACGAATGGATCCTCGTGGGCTTGGATGCCTCCCTCCTCACATACCTTTTTGACTGAGAAAGGATACTATAGGCAACCCCCATTTCTTCCCCCCTCGCAGGATTTCGGACAGTAACTCCTTTCCTCCACCCAAAGAAATTAACTCCTTTGGGAACAATAATCTTCCTAACAAGTCCCTGACTATCTGTTTTGGACAGAACAAGGAAGATCCCATTCTTCTTGTTGAATCTTTCCACCCAAAACTGGTAGTTATGGCCCCTATAAAGTCTGAAAAAACTCTGAGCACTTGCTGTGACTGCCGCCTTAATCTGAGCACTGAGCCAAGAAGCACAGCCCAATTCAAAAGAAATCTGGAACCCTCTGAATCTAGTCCTCTCGGTTAAACAAATCCTTTCACCCAAAGACTTGTCTTCCACTTCTAGGATGAAGACCTTTTGCTCTACTTTGTAATCTCTGGCTAGATGCTTGTATCTCACATTCCTACCTGAAAACCAAGAGCTTGGAAAGTCCCTTTCCCGTTTCTCCCAGTCGCCCCACACCCGTCCCTTACGTCGCCTCTCACCCATTGAATAGTTCTCTCAGGTTAAGATGAATGCTAATGATCCTCACTGCTTGATTGTTGGCTTTGATGTTGCCATAATCCATCAATATGTTCCAATAAAATAAATAAACAAATTTCAATGCTATCAACCTGCAAGGTCAAATGAGAAGCCCATCTCTTGCTTCAAAATAGTTTTTGAATCGC